AACTAATGCTGCTTTCCTAGGGGCTCCAACTTCTAGGTAGGGTCGCACTGGGGCAATGCTGTTCTTACAGCTACTTGGTGCGATTGCCCCTCCCCCGCGCCCCAGGGGCAGACGCCCCTGGGATGGGGGGTGTCGGATAGCAGCGTCTGGCAGATGCCAGTCCAACTAGCTCGAAGCTGTGAGGAGGAGCAGGAGGAGGGGAGGGGAGGAGGAGGAGTAGGAGCAGGAGCAGGAGCAGGAGCAGGAGGAGGAGACAGTTGGGGGTCTGCTGGTCAAATCCGGAAAACGAGCCGACCCCGGGGAAAACGGATGGATGCAGACCCTGACCCTGCGGCTCGTGAGGCTGCCCGGGACGCGCCCCTCCCCATCCTTTGGGGTGGGGGCGGGGGGGGGCGGGCTGCCCCTTTCGGCATGGGCCGCCGCCTCGGCGTTCGGAACCTGCCCCTCGCGTGCGGGAATGCCTGCCTCCTGCGGGCGCGCCCCTCTGCAGGGGACCTGCTGTCACGAGAAGCTCCACCACAGCCCTCGCCCTCCCTCTCCCCCCCAAAGAGAAGAAGATACCGGCAACAGGCTGCAGCGGTGGGCCCCACAGGGGCCTCTCAGCGATGGACTGTCGCACCGCATTGGCTGATCATGCTTCTGGCTGAGACGTCCCCTCTTGCGAGGGAACATGGATGGACAACTGCTGCTATCGAGGTGAGGACCTGACAAACTGGAATGTGCCAAGCATGGCAAGAGCATTACGGCAGGCCTGATGTGGAAGAGACCGACGGCTGCCCTCAGAGATGGTGCCTGATGTGGTTATCGCTGCCTTTTTCTGCCGCGTGAATCACACAGGGTGACTCCCAAGCAGAACCCTGACGCTGCCGCGAACTGGGGATCACGCATGCGGAGGTCGCCTGGCTGCGACTGCTGCATCTGCATATGTTGTTGCTGCTGCTGTCTCCGTGTCTCGCTCGCTGCTCCTCCAGGCGCTGGTGGCGAGACCATGTCATGGCCCTTACACTCGAGCACTGCTGGCGAAGGGCTGGAGCACGAGGGCGAGGCGTTTGTGGCTGCTGGGCGACGATACTGCTGATCGCAAGCTTCTGGCGCTGGTCGCCCTGCTGGGCGACGTCGTAGACCCACCCGTTCACGCTGCTGACCCACGTAGTGTAGACGCTGTCCATCTCGTCCGCCTGGCGCCGCGCCCAGCCGAGCTCCCACGGGAAAGGGCCGACCGTCGTCCTGCTGGGGTCGCACAGGTACACAACTGCGAGTCTCGAGGCGCGGATCGCCTTGGTAGGCGTGTCGATCTGGGCCTCAAGGATCGCGGTGGCCTGCGCCCCCATCCAGATCCCCCTGGTGGTTGAAGCCCTTCGCGTCGGTCAGCGTTGCCAGACTGGTAAGCTGGCGCTCGCGCTGGCGGCGCAGGCCGTAGAACACGTGGTTGGCCGTCTTCTTGCACTCGCCGAAGACGTCCGTTGTGGCCTGCGTAGCCTGGTGGACTGTCTGGAGGCGGTGGGCCATTGTGCCGAAGATCTGGTTGTGGTCCTCTCTTCGGTAGTGCAGCTGCCACCTTTGGCCTGGATAACACAGCCATTTCTTCCATCGCCGTCGGGCGCTGGTGCACCCGCGCTGTCCCACATCATAGCTCGCGCGCCCCTCATCCTGAGCATGCTGATAGTTTCTCTCTTGACAGTGAGAGCCGCACTATCGCAAAACGCTGGTCCCAGAAGAACAAGCTACGGACGCGCACCAGGGTGGTATAGTGTGGTGACGTTATCTTCCCGAGTAGTTGCCTGAGTCTCGATCTGGCCCTGCCTTTGACGATGCCGGATGCCCTTAGTGAGGCTATTGTGAGGCTGGGGGGGCGCCGTAGTGGGAGACTGTTGGATGTCGTAATAGGCGTGTTCCTCGGTACATCTGTCGATGAGAGTAGTTACCTAAGTCAGCATCTGCCACCAGCCGTAGGTGGAGGCAGGAGGGGAGGGAGGTGTGGTGGAGTGTCGTGATATGCCTTGTAGATCAAGGCGGTGACATAGTAGCGCGGTTGCCCTCCTGCTTATTCCGGCCACTGTAGCGTAGCATTCCCTGGTGCGATCAGCACGATAGCCCTGCATTTGTACTAATAGAGCCATGTGACCACGTGCTTTTGGGCCTGGTCCCTAAGGCTAGCTAGTCGCAATAGGCCTATGCTGAGTTGCCACGCTATTTTTTCCTCTGGGACTGCGGAGGAGACTGCCAGGATAGTGCCGTCGCCCCCTGTCCGAAGGCTGCCGCGCGGGATGGTATGTCCTCTACCTCTTCCGCCGCTGGAGCTGTGTCTCCACCGTGCGCTCGATGCCTGTCTTCGGGGCGCAGTCCCAATTCTTGGCGCACCCATGCGCACCCGATGCGGGGGATCGCCGGGCCGATGCTGCACTTGAGCAGGCCCGCCACGAAGCCGAGCAGGCGAGCGCACTTCTCCTCGTTGGGCTTCACCCTGCCGCTGAGCGCCGCCCTCCATTTCGGCACTGTGCTGATGGAGTGCTGTACCTTGGCCTGGCGGCCCTCGCCCATGTCGTCGCCCATTTTGTAAGTCTCCTGGTTCCTGCACATGGGAAAGATCTCCGTCACGAAGATCGGGCCCCACTCCTGGTTGACCCGCTCCATGAACTCCTCCAGCCTCCTTTTCGCCAGGCTGAGGTTCGCGGTCTGCCGCCCCTCGCTCTTCATGAGCTCTATGATGCCCTCGACGAATGATGGTGCCACGTGGCCGTGTGGAGGCCCTGGTCCGCGCCCTTTTCCCAACTCCTCAGCACTGACGCCGTAGGCCTGGGCAGTGTCGAGGGTGATCTTGATCGCCCCGCCCTCCAGGGCGAGGAGCCGGAACTCTGTGGCGAGGTGGAGCATGCCCCCGATCGGCGCCACGTCCTGGAGCGACAGTGTTGGCGCGGCGCTGCCGCCGTCCACGGAGCCTCCTGACGACGACCCTGCTCATATCTGCTCCTCCTGGAGGGCCGCCTCCTTCAGCGGCTCCTTGGCCTCGGCCTGCCACCGTCGGCCCCTTCTGCGCCCCGTCTCCTGCGGCTGCCCCCCCGCATGCTCCCCCCTTGGGGGGCGGCCTCTTCGCGGGCTGCGCTCGCCGGCCCGCCACGGGCCCCCTGTCCTCCGGAGGGGCGGGCCTGCCCTGGCCCCGCGCGGCGGGAGCGGACGCGCGCCTGGGAATCCTCGTGCTGTTGAGCCTGCCAGTGGAGGCTCAGTCACCGGGCGGCCCCAATTGGGGCGATCCTGATGGCAGATCCCGCGGTGGTGCGCTGCTCTCGTCGGGTGGTCGATACAAGGTCTCCTATGCACGGGAGCACTGCAGCGTCACGGGCAGTGGTCTGTGGCGAGTAGTGATGCCACCAGTGGCCTCACATTGTCGAGCTCTCGGCGATGCCCAACTAGCTCTGCGTACAATCGCACATATGTTGCCGCGTGTTGTCTCCGTTCCGTGTGAGTCTGTCGCCGCGCGGTCGCAACAATGTGGTCTTAGTAATTATTCCCACTCCTGCTGATATCCTGTCCACCCCCTCCCCTTCGTGTAAGCACATCACAATTTCTCTCGCAGCTGTAAAGCACTGCCCAGTCTGTAGATGCCCAGTTAGTGCATTCTGGAGCGCCTATTTTTGAATATCGATCTATCCGATGTGCGGCTGCCATAACATCGCATACTTTCGTCAATGCGTTCTAATGCCCACATGTCCCCGCCAGACTGTTTAGCCCGAGGTGTCAATGGTGGTCCTATTCAGTCCCCCTCCTCCGGTTGCGATATTCCCTGAGACGCATCCAGATCCCACGCGCCGAAACCTGCAGCTAGCACTGCGCTTGAATCAAGAGCGGATGTCAGCGGTGCGCCGCAGCTAGCACTGCACCGTGATCCGCGGGGTGCTCGGCCCAGGTCTGATACCATCGCAGTCGACGCTCCCTTAGCGATACCGCCGTCCTTTCCAAGCGCCAGTATGTAAACACCTGTAGCATGGTGTTGCGTCGCATGATGCCGCCCTCCTTTGCCCAACTCCTATTTCCCCCCCTGCAAGTGTCCGTGGAAATTTGGCCAAGACACAGTCCAATATGTTGGTGTGGGTAGTGGCCAGCGTGAAGGCTGTGAGCCCACTGAGGGCCTCCCCGAGTAAGAACGCCATGACTATCAGGCGCTCGATCGGCCTTGGTGCGTCCTGTGTCCAGAATGTGCCGCGCTGCCTGCAGGCAGTTTCTACAACCGGAACGCGGCTGGATGCTTCGCCTGTGATGCCTTGTCCTGCTGGTGGGAAGGAGTCTACATAGTACCTTAACTTCTCGAAGGGCGGTGCCTCGCAGCGCTTTGCTTCTCCTGACTTGTCGGGTGCCACCGTGGCTGCTGACTCCCACTATGACTCGCGTGCGGTGGCGAAAGTGGCAGGGCAGACTCGCTGCGCCACGCGCAGGCCCCCACCCCCCCCGGGAGAGCTCGGCTGATCTCCCGCGCTCGGAGCGCAGCTTGCCAGCACCGGTCGCTCAAGCTCTCTGGTGCTCGTCTTGCTGCTCTGGGTGGTGGGATGGCACCGTCAGCATGGGGCACGGAGGGGAGGCCGCCCCCCGTTCCACCGCTCTTCCGAGCTCTTCGTGTGCCAGGCTGGCCGTGCCGCTGCCCGCGCTGCGCGCGGGCGCGACAGACGCCTCCGGGCGCCGCGTCCGCCCGGCGGCATGCGCAGGAGAAGGGGAGCAGGGGATGGAGGAGCAGGAGCAGGAGCAGGAGGTGGAGGAGCAGGAGGTGGAGGAGCAGGAGCAGGAGCAGGGGATGGAGGAGCAGGAGCAGGAGGTGGAGGAGCAGGCGATGGAGGAGCAGGAGATGGAGGAGCAGGAGATGGAGGAGCAGGCGATGGAGGAGCAGGCGTCTGGAGGCGCCGGCGATGGAGGCGGAGGAGCAGGACCACGAGCAGCAGGGGGTGCAGGAGCGGCATGCCCAGGAGGAGCAGGCGGCCGGAGGAGCGGGAGCGCCCTTCGCCCAGAGGGTCCTCGCGCGGCGAGGCCCGGAGCTCCGCCCGGCCCGCGCGCTCGCGCTGCAGCTCCTCCCGTGCCCGCTCGGCGCGGACCTCGGCCTCCTGCAGGGGGGGGCCCTCGAGGAGCGGCGGTGACGATGATGACGATGATGCTGATGATGGTGATGGTGGTGATGATGATGGTGATGGTGATGGTGATGACGGTGATGGTGACGATGACGATGATGATGACGATGATGAGGATGATGAAGTTTATGATTATGCTGATGATGACGATGATGCTGATGTTGCTGATGCTGATGATGACGACGATGGTGGCGATGATGACGACGATAATGACGATGTTGATGATTATGATGATGATGCTAATGATAATGATGATGCTGGAACGATGGTGACGACGATGACAGTGATGATGATGATGACGACGATGATGTTGATGATGATGACGATGACGACGATGGTGACGATGATGATGACGACGATGATGCTGATGCTGATGATGACGATGAAGATAATGACGACGACGATTGGGATGATGGGGATAATGAATATGATAATGATGATGATGATGATGATGATGATGATGATGATGATTATGATGATGATGATGATAGTGCTGTTGCTGATGAGGCTGATGATGAGAATGACGATGATGATGGTGATGATGATGACGACGATGATGGATGACGACAGTGATGGTTATGGTAACGGTTCTTGTGATGATAAGGACGATGATGACGACGATGATGATGACGATGCTGATGATAAGGATGGCGATGGTGATGACGATGGTGACGATGATGATGCTGATGATGATAATGACGATAATGAAGATGACGATGATGGTGATGAAGATGACGATGATGCTGATGATGATGACGACGACGACGGTGACGATGGTGATAGTGATGGTGCTTGTGATGATGACGATGACGATGACAGTGATGATGATGACGACGACGATGCCGATGATGATGATGATGATGATGATGACGGTGACGACGATGAGGATGATCAAGATGATGATGACGATGATGATGATGATGATGATGATGATGATCATGAGGATGCTGTTGCTGATGATGCTGCTGATGATGATGATGACGTTGGCGATGATAACGATGATGATGACGACGATGATGATGCTGATGCCGACGACGATTATGATGACGCTGGTGACAATGATGATGCTGATGATGACGATGCTGCTGATGGTGACGATGATGATGATGATGATGATGATGATGATGATGATGATGATGATGATGATGATGATGATGACGATGGTGATGATGACGACGATGATGACCACGGCGATAATGACGAAGATGGCGATGATGCTGATGATGATGGTCACGACGATGAAGATGATAATGATACTGATGATGACGGAGATGATGACGATAATGAATACGGCGGTACTGACGATAATGACGGTGATGATGATGATGGTGGAGATGATGATGATGCTGATGCTGATGATGACGACGACGATGATGATGGTGATGGTGACGACGATGATGATGATGATACTGTTGCTGATGATGCTGCTGATAATGATGACGGCGCTGCTGACGATGATGAGGATGATGGTGATGATGGCGATGGCCATGATGAGGATGCCGATGATGAGGATGATGATGATGATGATGATGATGATGATGATGATGATGATAGTGATGATGATGACAACGGAACTGTCGATCATGATGGGGATGATGATGATGCCAGTGATGTAAACGATATTGAGGATAATGGTGAGGATGGTGAGTCCAATGATGATGACGATAGTGATGGTGATGGTGCTGGGGCTTGTGATGATGGTGACGATGAGTATGATGATGATGATGATGATGATGATGATGATGATGATGATGATGATGATGATGATGGCGATGATGATGGTGATGATGATGATGCTAATGATGATGATACTGATGGTGATGATGGAAAATATGGTGACAATGATGATGACGATGACGACGATGGTGATGGTGACGGTGCGTTTGATGATGATGGTGACGATGATGATAACGATGCTGGCTTATATGATGATGCTGATGATGGCGACGACGATGATGATGCTGGTGTCATGGTGCTGATGATGATGATGATGATGATGATGATGATGATGATGATGATGATGGTGATAGTGATGATGATGATGATGATGACGACGGTGGTGATGGTGATGGTGTTTGTGATGATGGTGATGATGATGATGACGAAGATGACGATGCTGCTGACGGTGATGCTGATGATGATGACGATGCTGATGGTGATGATCGTGACGATGATGATTGTGGTGGTGCTGGGGCTTGTGATGATAATGGCGATGTGATGACGATGATGATGCTGACGCTGGTGATGATGACAATGCTAGTGGTGATGATGCAGCTGATGATGATGATGACGATGGTGACGGTGATGTTGACGATGATGACGATGGTGATGGTGGCGTTTCACCTGGCAATGAAACGCACTACTCCCCATGACAGGTTGGCGGCGAATCGTTTTGTAACCAGTACTGGATGCTTATGGCGGGCTGCGTTTTGGAATCAGCCGAATACAACTACAACGAATGTAAACACATCGAACTCCAATAATCATAGTGGTGAATAAACACAGAATCGAATACGAGAAAAACAAACGACGGGACGTCAAACCAAAAAACCAAAAACTCCCACCAGCCCTTTGGGCGACAGGTGGTCTAACGATGGTTTCGTTCCTCGTCCACAACCCCTCTTCCCTTTGGGAAGGGGAGCCCTCCCCCTCCCCTCCCTGAGGTTTTTTTGGGGGGGGCAGCGAGGTGTCAGAGGGTCATATGTTCGGGCTCTGGGAGCGCCAATGTTTGACACCCCTCACTAGGATCGTGGCCCCCAGGGGGGCGACGACGAATATCTAGTACCCCCCTCTCGTTTGACCGACCGCCTCCGAAATGGCCCCAAGAGACCCTCCAGGGCTCCCAAAAGGACCCCAAGAGGGCCCCGCGAGCATCCCAAAAGGCCCAAAGAAGGCTCCAAGAGGCCCCCGAGAGGCCTCCAAGAGGCCCCCGAGTGATCCCCAAGCGGCCTCAGAAAGCCCAAGATGACCTCCAAAATGGCTCAAGAGAGTCCAAGCTGGCCCAAGATGGCCCCAAGATGCTCCAAGAGGCCCCGCGACAGTTCTAAGACGGTTTAAGATGGCCACGGAGCCTCGCTCCTCCTCCTCCTCCTCCTCCTCCTCCCCCTCCTCCGCATCACCAGTATCAGCATCAGCATCATCATCAGCAGCATCACCACAACCATCGTCATCATCATCATCATCATCATCATCATCATCATCATCATCATCATCATCATCATCATCATCATCATCATCATCCTCATCATCATCATCATCAGCATCATCAGTATCATCATCACCACCATCATCAGCAGCAGCACCATCATCATCCTCATCCTCAGTATCATCATCATTATCATCATCATCATCATCACCATCATCACCATCATCAGCATCATCGTCATCATCACCACCACCACCATCATCATCAGCATCATCATCACCACCATCACCATTACCATCACCATCACCATCATCATCATCGTCATCATCGCATCATCAATCATCATCATCATCATCATCATCATCATCATCATCATCATCATCATCATCATCATCATCATCATCATCATCATCATCATCATCATCATCATCATCATCATCATCATCATCATCATCATCATCATCATCATCATCATCATCCACCTCGTCCTCGTTATTCTTCTGCTCGTCCTCCTCCTTCCCCCCCTGCTCCGCCTCCTCCTCCTTCTCCTCCTCCTCATCCTCCTCCTCCTCCTCCTCCTCCTCCTCCTCCCCCTCTTCCCCCTCCTCCTCCGCCTCCTCTGCCTCCTCCTCCTCCTCCTCCTCCTCCTCCTCCTCATCCGCCTCGTCCTCGTCCTCCTCCACCTCCTCCTCGCCGTCGTCCTCCTCCTTCTCCTCATCCTTAGTCTGCTCGTCCTCCTTCTTCTGCTCGTCCTCATCTTCCTCCTCCGCCTCCTCCTCCTCGCTCTTCTGCTGATGCTGCTCCCCCTCCCTTCCTGGTTTCTTTCCTCTCCTCTCCACGTCCTCGTCCTCGTCGTTGACTTCGCCCTCTCCTCCTCCTCCTCCTCCTCCTCCTCCTCTTCCTCCTCCTTCTCTCCCTCAGCGGATAATTGAAACACGCCCCTGAAAAACAAGGTCGCAACAGCCTGCCAAAAGGTCCAAAAGGAAAACCCTGATAACAGGACCCCAGTAGAGGTGGATCCACCTCTCATGGGGTTCTATTAGAGCTTAGCCCTTCCTTGTTCGGAGCTGTAATAAATATTGCTTCATCCTTGGTAAGGTTATGTTATAGATGGAACCACCTGTAATACGATTCCATTGGCAATGTGTTCATCCTGGTGAGGTTGTATGTGATGTGGCTCCGCACGGCTCAGCAGACATCGCATGGCTTAGCAGGATATCGAAGTGCAGACAGAACTTAGCAAGGCTAGCAGGTGTTAGCAACGATTGGCAGGTCGCAGCAGGGCATGCCAGGGGCCAGCAGGGCTTGATGAAGCCTACCTATCAAGGCTTAGCTGGGCCTGGCAAGTGGCTAGCAGAACTTACTAAGGCATAGCAGAGTGCCAGCAAGGCTTAGCCGCACTAAGCCGGGTTCGGCTAGACCTAGCAGGGCTTAGCAGGGGCCAGCAGGGCTTAGCACGGCATCGCAGTGGCTAGCCACAGGTGGCCCCAGGGATCGTGGATTCTACTAGAGGTGGTTCCATTTCCAATATTGTCCACATGGAGGTGGATGCCCCTTAAATAAAATGATATTCCAGCCGGGTTCATCCTTAATCGAATTCTATTGGAGATGGGCCCACTTCTAATGGGATTCTAGCAGGGGTGGACCCACATTTAATGGATGTTTGTTGTTACACGCGGCTCCATCCTCAATAGGATCCCTCTAGAGGTGGACCCACCGCCAGTAGGACTCTAAAACATGTCAGTCCTTCATCGATCGTATGTTCTCCAAGGATCGCCTTATCATTAATAAGGTTTTGTTAGAGGTGACCCACTTCTATTAGCGTTATGTTAGAGATGGGCCTCCCTAGTCTGATTACATTAGAGGTGTCTCCATCCCTGACCTTCTTGGATTGCAAGCGGCCCTAAACCTGCTAGTAGTATGTTGGAGCTGAGGCCGTTCTTAACAGGAGTATATGACAACTGGTGCCTGATCGGACTTCGTTCGAGGTGGCGTGGCATCCAACCCTACTATATTAAAGATGGCCCAGCCCTGTTAGGACGATGACAGAAGGTGCTCAACCACTAAAGGGATTGTATTCGAAAGTGCAAGGCCACTAGTGGGATTATATTAAAGGTGGCTGCATCCTTAATAAGATACGATTAAAGGCCACCCCATCTCCAATCGGATGTAATCACAGGTGGGCCCATCCCTCAGGAGGCCTCATCCTTGATCGGATTATGTTAGAGGTCGCCCCACCTCTAAGAGGATTCGATTGAAGGTATACCGAATCCAAAATTAAGATAATACTATTGGGGTGGGTTAACCCCTGATCGGACTCTATTAGAGGTGGCCCAATCCCTATTGCGATTGAATTGGAGCGGGATCGAAATCTCACAGGGTCTTATAAGAGGTGACCCCATCCCTCATGGAGTTATTGACAAAAGATGGCTTCACTTCCATTGGGAGTGTATTACAGGTGGGCCAACCTCTCATCGAATTATTAGACAGGTGGCTCCACCCTTAACGGGGCCCCAGTAGAGGTGGATCCACCTCAGATGGGATTCTCTTAGAGGTGAATCAATCCTCGGAGGGGGGGGGGGGGGCCAAAAAAACAACTGTTGGATTTGTAAAGTTTTGTTTTCGGTGTTGTTCTGTTCTTCCTCACCCCCCACCCCCCACCCCAGGTTGCAAACCCTCGCCCCTGGCCGCGAATCTGAATGTGCGAGGGGTCGCACAATCGACAGCGTGACCAAACGGCGCACCCCCACCCCTTCTTAAGCCCCCCCCCCCCGAAGCCCCAAACGCATCCCTGGCCATGCCCCACCGGCGCACGAGAAAACAGGAAACGGAAACAGAAACGATTCAGACAGAGTCCCCCACCCAAAAAACCATCGAACGACCCACCCACAAAAAAAACGAAACGGACAGCAAACCGAAAAGTCTGAAAAACGCAGGGTTGAGATTCAGCCCCGTAACCGATGGTGCTGGTGATAATGGTGATGATGGTGATGATGATGATGATGATGATGATGATGATGATGATGACGGTGATGATGGGGATGATGATGATGATGATGGGGATGATGATGATGATGATGATGATGGTGATGATGATGATGATGATGATGATGATGATGATGATGATGATGATGATGATGATGATACTGGTGATGGCGAAGGTGGTGGCGCTGGTGATGACTGAGATAATGATGGTGATGATAATGATGATGGGATGGTGATAGTGATGATGATAATGCTGACGATGGTGATAATAATAGTGATGGTGCTTGTGACGATGATGATGACGATGATTATGATGATGACGATGATGATAACGACCATGGTGACGGTGATGATGTTGATGATGTTGATGATGGCGATGACGATCGTGATGGCGATGGTGATTGTGATGATGATGACGATGATGACGAGGACGATGGCGATTATGATGGTGATGAAACTGATAATGACGATGATGATGATGCTGCTGATGCCGATGGTGGTGATGCTGACGATGATAGCGATGGTGACGATGATGATGATGCTGATGGTGATGATGGTGTCGATGGTGATGGTGCTGCTGATGACGATGATGACAATGCTGATGCTGATGGTGCTGGTGCTTGTGATGATGATGGTGATGAACCCGATGATGCCGATGATGATGACGACGATGGTAATGGTGATGATGGTGATGATGATGACGGTGATGATGATGATGACGACGACGATGATGACGATGATGACGACGACGATGATGATGGTGCTGACGATGATGATGATGATGATGATGATGATGATGATGATGATGATGATGATGATGATGATGATGATGATGATGATGCTGATGCTGATGCTGATGCTGATGCTGATGCTGATGCTGATGCTGATGCTGATGCTGATGCTGATGCTGATGATGATGATGATGATGATGATGATGGTGGTGGTGGTGGTGGTGGTGGTGGTGAGGGTGATGGTGATGGTGATGATGATGGTGGTGGTGATGCTGCTGCTGATGCTGCTGATGATGCTGATGGTGGTGATGCTGGTGGTGGTGGTCGAGGGGTGCACCGAGGCACACCAATCGAAGCGAAGGTCGGTGCGGCGGACGCCCGACCCCGCGGCCCGATCACGTCGGGCAGGCAGCGCTCGGCGGCGCGACCGTGGTGAGGCGGAGGAGGCGAGGGGCATCTCGACATCCCCCCCTGGGCCCGCGGCCCATGCGGCGAGAGGGCAGGACATCGGCCCTCCCGCAGGGGGGGAGGGCACGAGCGGAACGGGTGATGATCGGGCGCGGGTGCCTCGGGCGCGGGGGGGATGCATCGGACGCCGCAGGGAGGTATGCAATCTACTGCAATCTTTGGGAGCATGCAGTGCTTCTGCAGTGCTCTTCTCATACGTGGTGGACAACCCCTGGGCTGCTGCCAATAAGCCGTGCCAGAGATGTTCTCCTTTGTCCTCCACCTCGCTGCCTATTCGGTGGTGGATTGGCGGCGAGGGCTCCCCGAATCATGGTCACTCTTTCCTCTGTTACTCACCCATCTCCCTCCTCCTCCTCCTCCTCCTCCTCCTCCTCCTCCTCCTTCTCCTCCTCCTCCTCCTCCTCCTCCTCCTCCCCTCCTCCTCCTCCTCCTCATCGTCATCATCATCATCCCTCCTCCTCCCTCCTCCCTCTCCCTCCTCCTCCCTCCTTTTCCTCCCCCTCCTCTCTCCTCCTCCTCCCTCCTCCCTCCTCCCTCCTCCCGTCTCTCTGCTCCCTCCTAGCTGCCAGCTCGGCCCCGATCCTGGGCTGCCGAGCCCGCGCCACCGGCGCTCGCGCGCCGCCCGCGGCCCCCGCGGCCCCCGCGGCCACCCCTCCCTCTCCCGCGCCTCGCCCCTCCTCCCCCCCAAAGAGGCCGTGCTGGAGCCGGAGCCCCGGCGGCGGCGTGCCCGCCGACCGAGTCGGACGGCCGCCTGGCGCCGCGCGCAGCCTGCGCGGGCGCAGGGCCGTGTGGCGCTCGCCTTCCTCGGCAGGGCGCTCCGGGAGGCGCTCGCAGGGGGCCCAGGTGGAGGGCCCGCTGCTGCGGATGCCAATGCTGAGCCCGCGGGCGTCCCGCCGCACGGTGTCGGTGGAGGCGACGAGGGGGAGGCACATCTTCTTAGAGATGGCGAGGCCAGGGGAGATCGGGGGGAGCCATAAGGGCGTCGCCCTGGCACCGACCCACCCGCCGCTAGCCACGGCGGCTACGGCGGGAGCGGCGGCGGCGGTGCAACCCCCCACGGACGCGCAGGAGGGCGAGATCAGCATCGTGGACATGATCCGCGCCTTGTGTGCGGAGACTGCGACTCTCGCAGCGAGCCAGGCGGACATCACAGCTGGCGCCGCGCCTGCTTTCTGAGCGTGCCGACGCCGAATCGGAGGAGAAGGCGACGGCTGTGCGGGGAGGTGCTGCGGGGCGTGCACCGCACGCGGCGGAGGAAGGAAGCACTGCTGCGGGATTGGGCGGCTTTCCACGACCGAGGTAATTACCTCGCCTGCCCCTGATGCGGCTGCTGCCAGGGGGCCACTCCCAGGCACAACGCCACCAACCGACGAGCAGTGCAAGCAACAGTGATCGTTAAACAGGCTGCGGTTGCGTGTTCATCGTCGCGCCCATCGTCGTGTTCAGTGTGGTAGAGTTTTCCTCGTATTCCACTCCTTCCCTGTGCTCGTTGTGCGCTACCTTGTGCTCGCAATCGCCGTGGAGGTCAGGGGAGAGGCATTGCGCCAGTAAAAAACAGCTCGCTTCGCGACTGGTCCCATCTCATCTCACCTCATCTCGTTTCATCCCATCTCATCTCTCCCCTCCTCCCTTCCTCCCTTCCTCCTCTCCCGGCGTCTAACAAGCGTTTAGCATCTTCTGAAGGTCCCCAAGGCGGGCCACGAAGCGGGGGGTCGATCTGCCCTCTCTGGCTCACGCCCAGGGGCGGGGTGCGTCCTCTTTCTCGCCTGGCCGTCTATGTTAAAAAGCGCTGCGGTTTTCCCTACCGTCTTCTGGAAGGGGGTGTTGGGGGGGACGGCTCTGGCGGCGCTGGCATTAGATCTGGCACGCTGGGGAACTCCAGGATTCGGCACGAGACCCACGGTGATCGAAGTCCAGGCCGACTCTGGACTGCAAGCTGGCGCAATCCAACGCGCCAGGAGGATCTCCTTCGACCTCACTGCGGCAGCAAGCCCCCTGACGTTGGACGGCTGGCTGGGCGCTGGCGACGGTGACGGCATCGGCCCTCCCTGGCGACCGAGGGTGCCGCCGCTGCCAATAACCCGACCGTCCTGCAGATCGGAACTGGGGCGGCGGCGATGGCGACGCGGTGGCCATGCGACATCGCCACCGCAACTACAGTCAAAGGTTGCCATGAGGAACACCAAATGATGAACAAAGTACCTTTCGGGCCTCACTCGCGCTTAGGGGCACAAGGAACGTTAGGAACGTCAGGACAAGATATCTGAGGAGCATCAAGCCCCGTTAGAAACCAGTGGGCCCTATGCCTGATGATTGATTGTAGAGTCTAGCCCTCTTCGTCTCCTCTCTCCTGCCCACCCCTCAGGGCGGAGAGTGTCCGCCGACGCGTGGTCTCGCAGAGCCTGGACCATGGCCTCCTGGTGCCTGCAGCGGGCCTCCGCATCCACAGCGCGGGCTTCGGCCTCCGACAGCTGGCGCCGCAGACCTTCGACTGCGACCTCCAGGTCTCTGCAGCGATCCTCCGCCTCCTGGGCGCAGGCTTCGGCGTCCGACGCCCTGTCTCGGAAAAACTCCAAGGCTCCGTTGAACTCGTCCTGCAGAAGCCTGCACGCCTGGTCCAGGTCCGGAGGCGGCTCCGAGCCCCCTGGGCTGCCGAGGCTCTGGGCCGCCGCCGCCTCCTCCGCCGCCGCGCCGCCGCCCATGGGAACCATGCTGGCAGCAGCCGTGCTCAGCGTGCCGGGGGCACCGCGCAGGCCGGCTGCAGCGGCCGGCGGGCTGCAGATGGAGAACTGCTCGACCAAGCGGCAGCCGCTGCCCGGCGCTCCTGGCGGAATGCGCCCCCCCCCCCCCCGCACACCCCACCCCTGCGGGGGACACGAACCGTCCGCCTCCACTCCTGGGCCCAGGATCGAGCGGGGCATACGTTCTGCTGGCGTGGCCGGGGAAGATCACACACACACACACACTTGTTTGTCCGCAGGCGCCAGGGTGTGCGAGACGGTCAGGCGCTGGTCAAGCGAGCGGAAGCATACAAACACAGACACGCGCACACACGTAAACACATACGCACACATACACACACACACACGCGCACCCGCACATACACATAACACACACACACACAAACACGTACACAAACCAATCGGGGGTCCAGGATCAGCCCTGCCAAGATCGGTGAGGTGGATGCTTGACGTCCCCCGACGCCCCAACCCTAAGAGACTGGATGCAGAGAGGGAGAGGGACACTCCCGTGGTCGCCATATCTGACATCCTAACGCTCGATTCCCATTGCGCTAACTTTTTCTCTACCCGCCGAGGGTTGTCATAGCGGACCTGGAACCCCAAAGGACACCATCCATCGTGTTACGTGCAATCGGAAAAAGGATGGCCGTCTACAGAGGGGGGGGAGGAGGAGGAGGAGGAGGAGGAGGAGGAGGAGGAGGAGGAGGAGGAGGAGGAGGAGGAGGAGGAGGAGGAGGAGGCGGAAGAGCCGAAGGACAAGCAGGAGGAGGAGAAGAAGAAGGAACGAGGAAGGAGGACGAGAGGGAGGAGATGTGCACGGGCGGGGGTCCTGGCGAGCCGAGGCGCAGCCAGCATCCCCCCCGCGACTCGCAGTCGGGAGCTCCACCGCGGCCCCCCCCGCCCGTTGATCGACATTGGGGGGGGGGTACCCGCGGACCCGGCAGCGGTTGCAATCAACGTGGCGCGACGAGGGCCAAAGCCTTCAGCGGGGAGTCGGTGGTCCACGGCGCCGCGGCCCTGTCTGGGGACGGGGCCGGCGGAAGCCAACTGCACACCTGCGCCGATCCCGGGAAGCCTCATCGTGGGCCCAAGCTCGGGGTCTACGCCCCTCGAGCTCGGGCAGGAAGGCGTTTGCACCGGTCCTGGGCCCAGGATCGGCCTGGCCAGGATCGGTGTAGGTGCACAGCTCTGGTGCCCACCGACAGGGGCTCGACCAGGCCAAGCCGGGAGTCCGCCGGGGCCTCTCGGACCTCAATGGCCACTGGAAGCTACCTTGCGTCAAAACCCCTGGGCAAGATCTGGAAGACTGCGCGCCCCTGTCCAGGGATCCCTCCCGCCCCAAGAGCTCCAGAAGCAGCCACCAGCTCACCGCGTGGGGGTGTCGGCAGCGCTTCCGCCAGCGCCACCTGCGCAGACTAAGAGTACGAGAATGGCCCGCAGGGGCTCAATTGCCAGTGAGCTCCCAGAGTTGCCCCAGCACTTGCCCAAACTGTCACTTCCTTGAACCCTCAGGGTTCGGCCAGAGTCCACGGTCCACAACGTCAATTCCAAAACTGTTGGTCGGCGGCCGCTTGGATACAAGCAGCGCTAGGGCAACGATGGGGCGCAGCGACGCAAATTAAGGAACAAACAGCAATCAAATTCCAAAACATGCATTCCAACTGTCCTGGCGAGGGACCCAACCATGCAGTTGTGAGCACCGCGCTTGTGAATATCGCCTTCAATGGAGCTCCCCGTGGGGCTACGAAATGTGTGAGGGGTGTGCCGCCATGGGCCTGGGGGGGACGCATGCGGACGCTGCCAGTGGGGCCTTAGTTGGAGCTCCCTGTACGGTCACGACATGTGTGACGGGTGTGCCGACATTGACTGGGGGACCGCATGCGGGCGCTGCCCCCTGGGGCCTTCGGTGGAGCTCCCCATGGGGCCACGAAGCGTGTGAGTGGTGTGCCGACATGGGCTGGGGGACCACATGCGGGACCCCCCTCCGTACTCCCCCCTGGGGCCTTAGTTGGAGCTCCCTGTGGGAACACGAAGCGTGTGAGGGGTGTGCCGAGATGGGCTTGGGGACAGCATGCGTTACCTTCCACCCTGGGGCCTTAGTTGGAGCTCCCTGCTTCGCCGCTACGAAAGCGCGTTAGGCGACGGGGCCCCGGTACAACGTTGTCAGTGGTGTTGTGCCCGCGACAAGAGAGGAGGCGTCAAAGGGGCCCATTAGGCCGCGGCCCCAGTACAACGTTTTGCTCAAGCATTGTTTTGCTCAAGTCTCGGGCGGAACCGCTCTTTCGAATTCGAACCCGATGGTGTCGAAAGCCAGTCGAGTCCGTTTTTTCGGAAATCTCGAGCGAAAACCACACTCTCGAAAGCTCTGGTCTGAAATGAATGTAGACTCGTAAATTCCAAGTGGTGTGGCCATTTCGAAACGACGGTTTCGCTTGAGACCTCCTCCATAAAACCAATTTCGAACGATTCCGAGACTTTCGGGTTCGATTTCGAGATGGCGCTCCCGCCCAAGACTTCCTCCAAATTAGAACTCGACACTTTTCTGGTTCGATTTCGAAACGGCGCCAGGTTCGCTTTCGAAATGGCCCACCCTCCCAGGACTTCCTGAAAACTGGAATTCAACACCCTACTGGCTCGATTTCGAAATGGCGCTCCCGTCCAGGACTTCCTCGAAAGTAGAGGTCGGCACTTCTTCAACTCGAATTCGCAATAGCGCTCCAGCCTAAATGGAAGCACGAAACGGGTGAAAACTTTCGTAGCGCCGATGAATGGGGCCACGGGACGCGTGAGGGGTGTGCTGTGGGCACAGGCACGGATGGGAGGAAGGGGAGCAGGCAGAGGAGCAGGAGTGAGGAGGAACGCGGGGCGCTGTCTCTTCGAAGCGAAGACCAAACACCACAAGATAGGAGAGAGGGGGTACGCAGTACCCCCCTCGGACCTCCCAAAGGGGGGGTCCCCCCTTAGCTACCCCCCCTCCTGGACCTCTCCTGCCGGAAACTCCCCGCCCCCTGCTGCCTTTCGCGCTCCGGAAACTACCCCCCTCCTTTTCTCCGCCCCTCAGAAGCTGCTGCCACCCCCTCCCCCCCTCTCGCGCTCCGTAAGCTACCCCCCTCCCTTATATCGGCCCAGTGAAAGTTCCTTGAATTTTCGTCATGTCGCCCGCTAGCGGAAGCCGACGGCAGTAAAACGAGGCGGAGGACGTCGGAAGGCCGTTGGAAGGATTGCGGAAGACAGCGGAAGTAAATGACGCCTTGCCCGGACCCCCTACACATGTTAGTTCAGACAAACAAAAACCCCACCCATTAAAGATAATGTAAACAATTATCCCGGGTCGTCCACGGATCCCGCCATGCTGGGATCGTTTCAAAATAAGATGCGGCTCCGAAGTTGCAGCATTCCTGGCATGTCAGGGTCGTCTTGAGATCATCTTGAGGTCAAATCTCGGTCATGCTTGGATCGCGCAGCCGTTGCGTTCATTCTGGGGCCACCCTGGGCGCGCGTGGATCCATCTTGTTGCCATCGGGCCATATCGGTGTCACTCGTGGCTCCTGTTCGGTTGTCTTCGAGTCGGCCTGAGACGGTCCAGAATCCATGGCGGGATCGTGTTAGGGTGGCGTCATCCCAGGGTCGTCTGGACGTTGCCGTCTGTGGCCTCAGGCCCTCTTGGAACCATTTTGCGGCCATGGGGGCGTCTTGGGATCTCGCGCGCGCCAGCGCGGAGCACGCGCGCGCGACAGCTCATGTCGCCAATGGGCGTACTCACAGATACTTCTTGTTGCGAGTTTCCAAGGGAACTTTTGTTGGAGCCAAATACTGGGGGGGGCTTAGCTGCTTAGCTACACTCTCCCCCTTTTGAACCCCCCCTGTTGGAAACGCCCCCCCCCCCCCCTCCTTGTGGGCTAAAGGAGGGGGGCTTGGAAGCCCCTTCCCCATGTGCTAAAGGAAAAAGCGCCGAAGACCAAAAGGACGCCGAAAACCAACAGAGCGCCGAAACCCAAAGAGCAGGGTGCGAAGACCAGAGGCGCGTCGAAAACCGAAGGAACGCCGATAAGCGAAAGAGCGCCGAAAACCGAAGGTGCGCCGAAAACTAAAAGGGCACCGAAAACCAAAGAAGCGTCAAAAACCAAAGGAGCGCCGAAAACTAAAGAGACGCCGAACATCAAAAGGGCGCCGACAACCAAAAGGAAGCCGAAAACTAAAGAAGCACCGAGAACCAAAAGGGCGCCAACCACAAAAAGGAGCGCCGAAAACCAAAGATGCGGCGGAAACCAAAAGGGCGCCGAAAACCAAAGAAGCGTCAAAAACCAAAGGAGCGCCGAAAACTAAAGAGACGCCGAAAATCAAAAGGGCGCCGACAACCAAAAGGAAGCCGAAAACTAAAGAAGCACCGAGAACCAAAAGGGCGCCAACCACAAAAAAGAGCGCCGAAAACCAAAGATGCGGCGGAAACCAAAAGGACGCCGAAAACCAAGAGGACACCGAACAAACAAATGGGGCGTCCAAAACCAAGAGGGCGCCGAAAACCAAAGGGGCGCCGAACACCAAGGGGCGCCGAAAACCGAAAGGAGCGCCGAAAACCAAAGGGCCGAAAACCAACGATGCGCCGAAAACCAAAAGGGCGCCAAAAAACCAGAGGGGCGCCGATAACAAGAAGGGCGCCGAAAACGAAAGGGGCACCGAAAACAACAGAAGCCCCGAAGACAGACAGGGCACCGAAAACAAAAAGGGTGCCGAAAACCGAAGGTGCGCCGAAGACCAAAAGGGCGCCGAAAACCAAAAAAAGCGTCGAAAACCAAAATGGCGCCGAAAACGAAAGAGACGCCGAACATCAAAAGGGCGCCGACAACCAAAAGGAAGCCGAATACTAAAGAAGCACCGAAAACCAACAGGGCGCCAAACACAAAAAGGAGCGCCGAAAACTCAAGATGCGGCGGAAACCAAAAGGGCGCCGAAAATCAAGAGGACACCGAAAAAACAAAACGGGCGTCGAAAATCAAGAGGGCGCTGAAAACCAACGGGGCGCCGAACACCCAAGGGGCGCCGAAAACCGAAAGGAGCGCCGAAAACCAAAGGGCCGAAAACCAACGATGCGCCGAAAACCAAAAGGGCGCCAAAAAACCAGAGGGGCGCCGATAACAAAAAAGGGCGCCGAAAACGAAAGGAGCACCGAAAACAACAGAAGCCCTGAAGACTGCCAGGGCACCGAAAACAAAAAGGGCGCCGAAAATCAAAGGGGCACCGAAAACCAGGGGGGCGCCGAAAATCAGCGATGCGCCGAAAAACAAAAGGGCGCCGGAAGAGCAGAGGGGCGCCGAAAACCAACAGGCCGTCGAAAACTAAAGAGCGCCAAAAAACAAAGGCGCGCCGAAAGCCGAAGGTCGCCGAAAACCAAAGGGGCGCCGAAAACCAAAGAGCCACGAATACCAAAAGGGCGCCGAAAACTAAAGGGGCGCCGAAAATCAAAAGGGCGCCGAAAACCAAAAGGGCGCCGAAAACGAAAGCGGCGCGAGAACCCAAGAGGGCGCCGAAAACCAACGATACACCGAAAAACAGAATTTGCACAGAAAACCACAAAGGGCGCCGAAAACCGAAAGAGCTCCGAAAACCAAAGGAACGCCGAAAACCAAAGGAGCGCCGAAAACCAAATGAGCGCCGAAATCCAAACGGGCGCCAAAGGCCCGAGGGGCGCCGAAAACCAAAGAGGCGCCGAAAACCAAAGAGACGCCAAAAACCACAAGTACGCCGAAAACCAACGCTGCGCCGAACACCGAAGAAGGAAATTTAGCTTCGAAGCCCATCCTTCAGCCAGGGCCCTGCAGCTGGAAAAGCCAATGGAAGGAGGGGAATGAGGGGTAGCTTCGCAAGCCCCCCCCCTGGAAAGGGGAGCCCGGGCTTGCCCAGGGCCCCGAAAAGGAGGGGGGGTATCTTCCAAGCCCTCCCCACTCCTTTAGCTAGGGCCCCCCGGCTACAACATCCAAACAAAAGGAGGGGGGGGTAGCTTCGGAAGCCCCACCCCCCCTTTGAAAGGGGAGCCCGGGCTGACCCTGTGCCCCGAGAAAGGGAGGGGGGGTAGCTTCCAAGCCTCCGTCTCTTTTATCGAGGGTCCCCCCAAGTGAAAATGCCAACAAAGGAGGGGGAGGGGGGGAGCTTCGGACCCCCCCTTTTCCAAGGGGAGGGGGGGAGGTTTTATCTCAGTGCCCTGGAACATGACGTGTTGCACCGGTTTCCTCCGTGGAGTAGCAGGATGCATGCGAAGAGGGATTCTGGCCAATGGTGAATAGCTGCCAACACACATGGCGAAAACATGCAACAATGTTGTTTTCTCACTCAAGGGTGCGGCTGAGCAGCGCTGTTAAGCAGTTCGCGGAAGGACAAGTGCGGATTCACAGTGTAGATTCGACTGACG